TAGTTATTTTGTGAAATATATTACAGCACCATAAATTACATTTTTATTATTATTACAACTTTAAATTGTTTCTTTATTTTATGGAAGGGATATCGTACTTAGGCATATACGGCTCTCTTGCGTGATTTCTTCAGTATTAAAACAAAACAAAGAACAATATAATAGGTGAGAAAAATCTGTTGAGGTCCGAAAAACTACAAATATATTAGGCTTGTTTCAAAAATACAACAAATTTTAAATAAAAAAGACTTATAGCATGACATGTCCAAAAAATGAAATAGGTTTAACTTTCTCTTGTATTAAAAAAGGCAGCTAAAATAATATAATATAGGTATATTACTTATAATGCATAGTTTAATTAAAGTTAGCCAATATTACTAAAATATATAAAAACTATAGCATATATATTATTTACATTTTTTTTTAAATATTTCAAACATATCTGAGCTTTTGGATGAAATCGTTGACTTCAGTTTTAAATTTAGGTTATTCATTTGTTTGTTTTGTTATTAAAGATATAAAATTAAACAATTTGAAGTCAAAATAGGAGAATGATCTTTGTGTTAATGTTTTCAAAAAAAAAACTACGTTTAAGTTTGAATTTGCAATTGCACTAGTTTTTGATGAAACCTTGTGTAGTTATCCTGATCTCTATAAGTATACCTACTTTTTGACGACACTGATATGTATATAATTATTATCTCTATTAATTTTTAATCCTTGATGTAGTAGTTGAGTTGTATATATACTATTCTTTTAAAATTATGTTTCAATTAGTGTATTTAATGTAGATTATGGATTTTTTAAAGTGCTGTTAAAAGTGGTCCCTCCATCTCGTCATACCTTAGATTTGGTTAAGAAAACGAATCATAAATCATATATGTTATTTTTGAAAGGATATGTCTAATGTTAAATATGCTAAACAAGCGTTGTTTTGTAACGTAAGTAACTAGTTCATTTTATCTTATGTGCTGATCAATCATTATACCTAAATATTTTATCCACCAGGAGAGTATTTGATGTGTAGGAGAAAATGAAAGCTTCTTGTATTTCAAGTGTGAAGAGGAGAAATTGTAGTAATAAAATTCCACTTCACTTAATAAAATAAGTCAAGCGCTTTCGGAGATTAAGCCATCATCAGGACATTGACCACATTAGCTAATAAGTAAAAAGGGATTAAAGGGGATCCCTACTATTTCATAACAGCAACAGATAGAAAGTTGACTAAATTAGAAAATAGTTGCGCATTTTTGTGCTCATTAAAACAAAACCATTCATATCTACAGAAAAAAAAA